TCCCGGCTCCCTCGGTAACCCTCTGCCGCCCGCCGGCCCCACCTGACCCGAAATCCCTCTCGCCACCGCACCCGAGTAACGCGGGGCTCCCGCGCCCCCGGCCGGGCCTGCCGCCTCGCGACCTGTGAGGAATCCCGTGTTCGGAGCTCCAGATGTTCCCAGTTAACGCTTCCGTCGCTCTGGCCCTTTGCCATCGCTACCGTGCCTGCGGTCCCGTCTCCTACACACAGATGCCCTGTGCAAAGCAGAAATTTACTGACTACCCGAAACTTAGTGTTTTCTCACATGTCTGCTTCAGAATTAGCCTAGTTTGAATGGATTGCCACTGAATGTTAATATTCCGGAATCTTTGCTTAGATATATTGCATGGGAAGATGCACAGTCACATCTTCAGGTCTTCCCACTTTAAGTCCAAGGAAATCCCTTCTGTTTTAATTTCTCAGTTACAGAGTGACTTTGTCCCCATGATAAAGTTGTAGCAGTCCACCTAATCCCAGAAGGTTACGGTGCACGTGGTGGAATGTGCAAACAGTGTGTGTCAACCATATTGCAGCTTAAACCTGGCTAAGGTTAAAGTTGGTTGTTTATGGATTTCTGAAATTAAAATGAGGTAAACTACTTGAGATGAAGACAGATATGAGCACACATAAGCATATGTAGTCTTATTGAATAACTCCTCAACAAATGATGGCAATTTTCTTGGTTCGTCAAAGAGCTGTAGTGTCTTAGTTAGATCTTTTTTGAGTAGTTGTCAGTCTGTACGTTCCTGTTGTCCATGTGCATAAAGGCAATCACTTCAGCCATGGACTTTTAATCTCCATCAGTACCCATAAATTACATGAATGTGCATGTTCCCTCAATCTTCTTACATGCTTTGCACATACAGTGGAGGTGGTCAGAATATGCCCCAAATCTTCAGTTCTTAATAGTTGGCTTGAATCAGAATAGAATAGAATAGAATAGAATAGAATAGAATAGAATAGAATAGAATAGAATAGAATAGAATAGAATAGAATAGAACTAGAATAGAATAGAATAGAACTAGACTATTTCAATTGGAAAGGACCTACAATGATCACCTTGTCCAACTGCCTGATCAATTCAGGGCTCACCAAAAGTTAAAGCATGTTATTAAGGGCATTGTCCAAATGTGTGTTCAACACTGACAGGCATGGGGCATCTACCACCTCTTCAGGAAGCCTGTTCCAGTCTTCGTTCACCCGAGAGGTAAAGAAATGCTTCCTAATGTCTGGACTAATCCTCCCCTCACAACTGTGAACCATTCCCACGCGTTCTGCCACTGGATCCCAGAGAGAAGAGTTCAGCACCCTCCTCTCCGCATTTCCTTCTCAGGAAGCTGTAGAAAGCGATGAGGTTGCCCCTCAGACTCCCCTTCTGCGAATTAGACAAACCCAAAGCCCTCAGCTGCTCCTCACAGGACATCCCTTCCAGCCCAGTCACCAGCTTTGCTGGCCTCCTCTGGACACATTCAAGGACCTTCACATCCTTCTTAAACCGTGGGGCCCAGAACTGCCCATGGTGCTCGAGGTGAGGCTGCACCAACGCCGAACACAGCGGGACAGTCACCTCTGGTGACCGCCTGGTCACGCTGTGCTGGATGCGCCCCAGGATGCGGTTCACCCTCCTGGCTGCCAGGGCACACTGCTGGCTCACAGTGAGCCTGCTACCCACCAGTACCCCCAGACTCCTTCCTGCAGGGCTGCTCTCCAGCCACTCCTCTCCCAGTTTACACTTGTGCCTGGCGTTACTCTATCCCAGGTGCAGAATCTGGCACTTGGACTTGTTAGATTTCATGCCACTGACCTCTGCCCAGTGCTCCAATCTATCTAGACCCCTCTGCAAGGCCTCCTGTCCTTCAAGAGAGTCAACAGCACCTCCCAGTTGGGTGTCATCAGCAAAAGTGCTAATGGTGCATTCAACTCCAGATCCAGATCATTGGTAAATATATTGAACAGGACGAGCCCTAAGATTGAGCCCTGAGGAACGCTGCTGGTGACGAGTCACCAGGCAGATGTAGCCCCATTCACTGCAACCCTTGGAGCTCTGTCCTTCAGCCAGTTCTTCACCCAGTGAACCCACTCACCCCACAGTTAGACAACTGGTCCAGAAGGGTGCTGTGAGGGACAGTATCAAAAGCCTCACTAAAATCCAGAAAAACTACATTCACAGCCTTCCCTTCCTCCACCAGCTGCGTGACCTTATCCTAGAAGGCTATCAAATTAGTTCAACAGGACTTGCCCTTTGTGAGCCCATGCTGATTGTGCCTGAACTTTCTTTAAACTTGCAGTGATCTAAGCTGCATTTCTTTGCATCTACTTATCTTTAGTGGTTGGTTTGGTTTAGTTTCTTCTATTAACAAGTTTTTATTCTTGTTTTTATTGGTTCTGTCACTACAACTGTTAAACATTTTGGATTTGAGCCATTAAGTTTATCCATTTGCCTGTCTAGTGTTCCATCAAGGAAGTTTTTGGATTTTGAAGGTAAGAGGGAAAGGAAGAACAAGGTAGGTTATGCCTTCTAATGCCAGGTGTAGTCGTCAGCAAGGCAGAAGACCTCACTCTGCAAAAAGTGAATAGGGGAAAAATGTAATATTGAAAAGGTAGCATGTAGGTCCCATAACATAGAGATCTACACAGAGTGTAAAGATGCTGGTGGACAACACACCTCATAAAGGAAGGGTGCTCAGTGCCTTGCCAGTAACTTCTCCTCATGCTGAAGCAGCTTGGGGTGAGTGATGGTGTTGGGGCTGGGTCCGTTAACTCGCTTTTAGCTGAGGTAATCTGACTGCTAATCAGAGCTGGTCCAGCTTTCAGACAGTTTGGGGAAGATCCTGCAGTGGCTACCTTTGGTTTTCTGAATGTAGTCTTCCTATGGTCTCTCTCTACTGAATGAAGAGCTGCTACAGGGTTTCTGAAGTTAGGCTTCTGCTCTGAACTCTCTCGGAGTCTTTGTGCTTGGGGGATGAACTGCTCCTAGCTAAATCTGCTGTTACAAATTTCCTCCTTACAGAGCTAAAAATACATCATTACAATGTTTTCTGTGAGTATGGCAATTATGGATTACTTTAAATTTCAGTATTTAAAAAATGATTTCTAACAGAAGGGGAGTAAAAATGCAAGAAATATAAAAATAACATCACTCTATACATTAAAAACTCAATTTTTAAGGAGTAGTATCTAGCAGCATTGGTAGTCTGTTAACTTAATAGAAACTGTGGTAATCTAATACCAGTGAAATTGTACCTTTTCCATTTTTTTCAGTTAAGCTTTTATTAGAATTTCTGTGCTATTATGCCTAAAGACCTGTTCCTTAATAAAAACAAGTGTGAAATTTTAGCTTCATGGCTATGGTTCCCTTATGGGACAAATTGAGGTTTGCCTTTGGAAAAAAAAAAAGTGCAAGAAAATGAGACTGTTAAATTCTAAATCAGCTATTATAATTGGGTCTTAGTTGTGGCTTAGTGTTAAATTCAGGTCTTTTTCAGGACAACTGAAATGTACTGATGTTTATATGGCTGACTAATGGTTTGGTAATTTTGTTCTTGTTTACATTTTGAATAATGATGTATTGATGATATTTTAGTGAGAGGCTTTTACAAAATTTTTTTCCCCTTACTTTATTGCTTACTTGGGATAAAAATCAAAAAAAGAGGTACCTTAATAAACAAATACATCCCTAGCATTAAATGGCATCCATCTACTTATGGTGTAACTTAAAAATTGAGTGGTCTGACTGCTAAAAAAAAATGCAGCTTCTCTCAATAGCAGATTGGTTATGTAAAAGGTTTCACTTATCTTTATGGAGATATTACAGATAATTCTGAGGATGTGCAACTCATGAGCTTTATATAATTCCAGCAACACTAGTAAATGATAAGAAAGGAGTTCTGAAAGTCCTGTTATGCTGGGATTCAATGTTATATTTGCTGTATTCTTTTGAATAACTGAGAAATATAATGAGTTGCAGGAGAACAAGACAGATCGGGTTTCTAAGAAGAAACTGGTGTTCTCCAATCTGTGAGACTCTTTTAGAATATAAACAAAACAGTAGGTAAGGATCCTGGGCAATATTTGTGTGAGTTGTCCACATTTCTTTGACACAGACCCTCTGAAGAGACTATCCTGAACTTGGCATTCAATTCAAGGAGGTGAGGTTTCTTCAAGAAGCAGAAACTGGCTACAATGCAGAAATCCAGCCTCAAGCCAATGACTGTCTATTCAGTATAGCTAGAGCACAATCAGGGGGGAACACTGAGGTTTCTTGTTGGAAATTAACAGTGATAGACAATAAGGTGAGAGTGAAATGAGGTGAAATGACAAATAAGGTAACAAAACTCTTCAGTGTCATGTACAGTTACACTCCTTGTTTGACTTTTCTATATATTTCTCCTTCTGCAGTGAGCTCCAGCCTGTGGATAAGAACGATCTTTGGGGGTGGAGAGTAGGTGAACACCAGCACTATTACAGGAAATACCAGAAAATCTACTTAAATGAAGGTTTTCCACTCCAGTCCAATTCCAAGTTTTGAACCTCAGCACTCTGTATTATGAAAACTTTCAGGCCAGCAACAGCTTAGGAGAGCTAGGCATGCAAAAGCTGAGGCTAAACTAGGTCTTGCAGAAGCAGTTTCATGTTTGATGAACCTGATATAGAATCTTTGAATTTTTTTATTTTTTTTTTTTTTAGCTCTCTGTGTAGAGGTAGGGTAGATTACAGCCTAGGTCTGACAGCCAAAATATTTTTTTTATTGTGTAATGTGATAAGGATGTCTTTGCTGTGCAGTGGCCCACTAAGCTGAAGTAATAAAACTATCCTATGGTGCCCAAGATGTTGGCCAGACCTGGCTTGGAAGCCATGGATTCAGAGTTGAATCTTCCCCTGTTACAGTGCTGGCTCCACCCAAGACTAAGTGGCCTTTGACGAATTATCTCACCTTTCTGTTTTAGCTGTGAAATTAAGATAATATATCTACATGCCAGTGTTATGAATTAATTAAGAGTTGCACAGTGTGTCTTCAAAGTAATGTATAAGTGCTAAATATTAGCTATAGTGTAATTGGACTACTGTAATTTATAATATGCTAACTGACATTGGCATATGAAATAGGATCAACCTCTTCTCAAGTGCTGTAGAATCTTTAATTGTTACTAATGAACTTCTGATACTCAAAGTAG